TAAGGTTTGCAGGAGGAATATCGACGATCCTTACTATGTCGTTGAGGTCTGCTTGATGGAGCACTTTGCGAACAGCTCTACTAAACTCTTCTGAGATGTATGGTAGGCAGAATGAGATCTGATCTTCAGCTTCTGATCTAGGCGGACGATGAACCCGGGATCTGTGAGGACGATGAGTCTCCGTGCTATATCCATTGGATCTTGCTACGGATCTAGCGAGTTCTTCTTCGAGTGCTTCTTTTCTTCTCTATCAGAAGAGACCCCTGCAGCCGTTCTAAACATGTTCCCTATGATGGATGCTTTTATTCGTGCAGGATGTGCTGAAGTATGGTGTACTAAAATATTCTTGCTACTCGGCTTTCGGTACCATCTGGTCTTAAAACGTCTATCTGACAAGCATAACTGCACGTTGAGGAACGGCAGCCATCCATCTTTGGGTTTTTCCCTCGTCATCTTGATGTTCCTGTCCTGGGCATTCATGATATTGAAGCAAGAATCAAGTTCGGCCTGAGTGGGACACACGATACAGCAGTCGTCCACGTACCGACAGTAGAGGAGAGGCTTGCTTGCTAGTACCGGAGCTTCCACCTTGGACATGAAAACAATCGCTAAAGTCGGCGCTAGTCTTTGTCCCATAGCCAGTCCTCTTATTTGGCTGTAATAGTTGCCGCACCAACGAAAGATGGAGCAATTGAGACATTCCTTAACCAACGACAAGATGCCTCTGATGCTAAGACCGTAAAGATTAAGTGACGACTGGTGTTCTAGAAGAAGTTCGAATGTCGCTTGCATCGCGGCGTCGTTGGAAACGTTGGTATAGAGCGATTCCACATCGAAAGACTCCAAAACGCACCCTTGCTTTACACTTGTGCTGCGCAGGCGATCAAGAAACATTTTCGTGTTGGAGAGATGTGCGGGAACAAATCTGAGCAGTTGAGAAAGGATGGTGTTGAGAAACCACGAAATCCTATCCGTAGGACCTCCAACGCTGCTGATGATAGGTCTAACCTTAAAATCCTGCGGGTTATTGGACGTCAAACTATCTACGGACACCTTATGTGTCTTGACAAGAGTGTAGAGAACAGGACATATAGGCAGATCGGTCTTTAGACGTGTAGCCGTAGCCCTAGGAATGCCTTCAGCTTCAGCCACCTCTAACCATACCCTGTTTAAGCGGCGGTACTGCTTTCTGAAATCGTTTGCTGCCACAGGCTCGTATACGGTAGTGCCCTGTAGATGATGTTTCGTGATAGCCATGTCCAGATCACGAGAGAGAACTACAAACTCTCCTCCTTTGTCGCTGACCGACACCTTGATCGTCCATGGATTGGTGTTCTTTGGGTTTTAGTGAGCGATGAAAAAATCAACAAAACTTTCGGGACAACCTAATATGATCATTATATTTTTGTAGAGAGCATGAAGAGCTTTTTCGAAGCGCAAGAATAAGCGATGTTCAAAGTCTGTTCAAGTTGGCAGCTTACTTGCTGTTGATCGAAACGAAAAATCTCAAAATGTAATAAAAATCAAGCTCTCCCATTTCTTGCCGCTCACTCTAATACATAAAATACCGCTCGTATTTTTTGAAAAAACGACGCACAGTCGCACGATTTATGTGACATCACCGTAGCGTAACGGCCATATCTCGCTTCAGAGTGGACGAGTTCTTAATCCAAGGGCACCATTCAACTCAGATCGGCGCGGCACATCTATTGATGTACAGATTTGTTTGTTTGGACACAGTAGTAGGCCAGATTTCATGAATCCTTTCAGATTTTTGCTTAAGAATGAGTGTAATGATTGAGCGCATTGAGTAGCCTACCCTAAGCAAAAATTTGAAACGATTCGTGGAAGCTGGCCCACTACTGTATCAAGCGAGCATATACATCTGAAATGTGCCGCGCCGAACTGAGTCGACTGATGCCCTTGGATTAAGAATTCGTCCACTTTGAAGCGAGGCATGACCACGCTACGGTGATGTCACTTGAATAGGGCGACTGTGCTTCGTTTTTCAAAAAAACGAGCGGTATTGCATCTCCTTTGTATAATATACCCGCTGTGCGCTCTTTAGCACGAAGTATAAGTGCTGGTTTAGCAGAATCTCAGCACGCCTACTACTCAGACGGATAGCTAGGATGAAGGCTTAGAGGAGAGGTAGAATGATTCACGATCCTGAGTTGAAAAAAGCCTACAAACTTCTTGCACCCTATCCTTAAAAGTCTTTGTTGCAACAAAGTCACTAACAGTTTCACGCTAGCCGAACATTTGGAGAATTCAAAAAAACTTTTCTGAAATTTGATTCTGAAGCTTGTTTTGGAAATACTGGTCACAATAACAAAAAAATCTAGAATTGAGAGAACGATAAAAGGACAGATGCTCTTTGTTTCAAAGACTATATTTCTTTTCTGCTCGGCGTTGAAGAGCGAGTAGAAAATGGTGTACATCTAAAGCCTATTCAATCCTATTGCTTAAAGCCTCATGTGCGCTTCTTAGGTACCACTTATTGTTTTTCGAAGGTCCTTCGTTCTACTAGCGAACCTTTGTAGAGATCAAGAAATCTCTGACTCAACAGGAGGGATATTTAGCATAATTGCAATAGACGGCTGGTAAAAGGAAACCTTTATCCTGATTGTTCAATTTATTGTGGGGATAGCGATATACAGCTTACTGAGATCGCAAACATTCCATTCCGACATAAGGTTGTGCAATGATTTGATAGAACTGCGCTAAGACTTCTCAACTTCGTGTTTCTGAGCTTAGTAAAGCTATAGTTTATGGTCAGTAAAATTACATTTCACTTCCCTCAGCTAGAAGAACATTCTGCAATCAGATTCATAGTATTTTGGGCAAAATCGCATTGCTGCGCCCATATCATCTTTGCACAAATGTTGTTTCTTATAATAAAGTTAGTGTTTCTCTGGAGAGCTTCGAACAGTGCTGTGATATCAAGAAGTTCGAGGATTTACGAAGTTTCTCATTCGTTTTCATTATAAGCACCACTACCAAGAATTCCAAGTTAGCGAGGAGCACAAACGAAAGTGACAATTTTATCTCAGCTACACTGTGATTATCGCCACATGTGATGTAATACTCTGAAGGAGACGGTCTCCCATATAATTAACACTTACTTTGTCTGTTGTTATATCAATGCATCTTCTATTTCCTAACGGGCTGCCGCTTTTTATTCCGGCAATAGTCCCTTCAACACAGACATTGACTAACTGGCCATTCATTTATATCCTATATTACGCGGAACTGTTTTTTATAATTATCATGTGTCCTGGAGCGATATGGCTAGTTTACGCACTAAGAAAACTGGAGCGAATATTCCATAAAAACCTTATAAGAATTGCACGGGTAAACAAAACTTTACCTTTGGTGAATTATTGAATCGAATTCCTTTCAATAATAGACATCTTGAAGGCAGTTAAGGCTTGCACACAATATGCTCCTTAACATTCAAAGCTCTTCTCTTTTCGACTGATATCATCATAAATCGGGCACATTGAGCTACTATGCATGAAGGTCCGCATATGACTGAAGAAAAAACAAGTGTTTAGCGAATAATGCCTACTCGGGCCTCAGCTTCTTTATACAGTCGAGTAGATTTTCCGCTCAATATAGTGTGCTTGCAATGGGTAAAATTTGCGCATGAACGAATAGCTACGCTTGTAACACCACCAATTGTGTGCTCAGTCAGAATGCCGGCGTTACTGGCGTGGCTAACTGAGCGAAAATTTTACCGCATTTCACCTACAATGCAAGCACACTATATTGAGCAGAAAATTCACTCGACTGTATATGACTAAAGAAGAAACATTTATCCTAATCAATGAAGAGAAATCAGCGTGTTAACGGAAGGTAAAGCATAACAGACTCACGTTCAATTGCAAAAAACGAAGCTTAAAAATTCTTGTTCTACTGTTTTCACTTCTCACATTCCTGTCTACATGAGATATTTTATCTGAAGCCTCAAATAATTTTGATATTGATAACTAAATCTCAAAACGTCGGTGCTAACATTTGTTTCGGCTATGCGAAAGTTACACGATTTTAAAGGAACTATTTTAGCATTAGCACTCAAAACATAGATCGTCTAGCTCAAACACGTTGTTTGTCTCGAATATTGACACCATAAATGAGCTTTTGTTGAACACGGCTACATGTTGAGACAGACCATCACGAACCTTTATTAACTATCGCTAGAAAGAAAAAATACGCACTATGTGCTTAAAGACGTGGTCTAATCAAAATATTTAGGCCCACCTCGTTGCCTTCACACTATCGCAATGTTCACGAGTTTGTATCATGTTTTATGATGTCGAAGTATTTGGCAAGAAGGGTAAGCAAGTTTTTTGCTTCCAACATTGCTTGGTATACTCGATCACGCGAGGGTTGGGCTAGATTGTGCGGCGTACGCAGCGCACGTGCATAAGAATAGGGACGCACGCTGCGTACGTCGCGTACATCGCGTAAGCCACGCAGTCTGGCCCAACCCTGAAACCACCTAGCATTCGGCCACATATGATTATTGTCAGTCATATCACTTTACTGCTAGTTTATTTCATATGATGTACCATCGTCTACACCATAAATGCGTTAATTGACTTTACGAAGAAATTTTACGTTCACAAGTCGTAGCATGCGAAAAAGCGATAAGAGCGATAAACGGTAGAGATGATCTCGAGCGTTTGTGGCTTTGAATCTGCACACCGTAATCATGCTTTCCACTGAGTCGATTCTTATTGTGTAACGATTTTGATCATAAACGAAAGCTGTGGATTGCTTTGATGATCATTTTTTCGTCCAAAACACACAATTACTGACAAATACACCTCATACACCGCTTTGCTTTGTATACATTCTGAACTACTTGACTTTAAAGTGAATAAAAAGGTGTTCAACTGATGTCACAAGGCAGTCGTGTCGAGTACCAGCAGACCTTCATGACTTCAAAATTCTTATGAGATAAACCTTTCTGTCGCTTTGGATAATTTAGGTTCAATCGACATAACCCTCCTCGTCTTCTACCTCATAAGATTTGTGCCACTGTGCTGCCTTTTGACTATGTTCCCCGCTATCATAGCCGAAAGAACGTTTGCTTCGCGATATATTAGCGATTACGAGCGTACTGACCGATCGTGGATTTCATATTCGGTTATCACAGGCTCTTTTCTGTGTGCTGTAATTTACTACATCTTCGTTCAATCGTTTTTTGTCGGTAAGTTTTATAGCTCTTTTGAAAGACTGGTGTTGTAAAGAGTTGATGTGTTTGCACATTGCTACTATGTTTAGTAGCTTAAATTATAAATTATGCAATTTTCTTTGCTTTTTTTCTCAGGACTGGTTTTCAAAGTAGAAGAAACTGAATCCCTTCCTTTTGTTTTTGCCCTGAATCTACGTCAAACAATACGTCAAACAACTGTAATTCCAAAACATGTGCGTAACAATGGGAGATTTTTGCAAGCGATTGCAAATCTTTTGATTTAAGAAGGGTAGACCTAGTAAATCATATAGTGCTATAAAGAGGCTAAGGTTTTCTTGCTTCCCAGCGCAGAATAATCAAAATATATATAAAGCTGGCCGATTTCTTCCCTTTCTAAAATGTCAAAATGTGTGTATTTTTGCGCTTTGCGATATTTTATTGGAATTTTTCTTGTAAAACTTGAGCTTGGCTATAGTGCTTATCCGACCACTGGCTGAAAGCAGATGTGCGCAATCCTACTAAATTTCAGATTAAGTTATTTTCTTGAAGATCGCAAATGATATCTTGGCAACCTTTGTACTATAAAATCTTTTTCGGCAAGATACAGCTCTTTACATTAATTATTACTGTGCTTAGAAAGAACATTTCGAACAATAGTTATCTTGACTCGAAATTGAATTATTACTTGCGCTGGTTTTGAATCAATCCGGTAATAAAATGGGCACTGGCAGTGGTGTTTATCGGCCACTGTTATTTCAGGCATGTACTCTATGGTTCTCTTTACAATAGTTACCTTGTCTATTTGCGTGCTCTCGTCAGTTGTCATGAAAGTGGTTCATGGACGTGATATGGCCAAGTTCAGTGACTTAGCGAATCAGACTGGCCGTTCAACGATTCACTACACGTTGAGCATGAAATTTCAACTAGCCGAGAACTTGCGCGTTACGAAGGTAAATACTGTATATCATTCATCTATAAGAGCAGCTTGGAAATAATAAACCTCGAAATGAATGCACATCTTGAATTCATGTTGATTCGTTAGAAAAACGGATACCGAGAGAAGGGATTGAGAAAGGCTAGATACCATTTGATTTAACTGGCTTGGCTTCGAGAAGGCGCGGCATCGTGACCTACAGTTTGCCCCAATCCTAACCAGGCCAAAATTGGCATGGCGGAAGTCGACATCGCGAGGGTTTCGCGCCACTTCTGCGGCTAGCTAGTCTGCTCTCTCCTCAATCTCTTCGCTCTCTGCGACAGCGCGCGTGTGCAGCGCAAACCCCTAGCGCTGCGAGCGCGCAATTTCAGCTGATGGTTCGGCCTGATCCCGTTTGGGGCAGACTATAGTTACGGCTAGGTAATGATCAGAGAGCATTCGGAGCGAGAGAGATGCAGGTGCGTCGCGGGCGCGAGCGGCCTCAATTAGGTCACAAAGTCTCGCCTTCCTGGAGCCAAGCCAGTTGAATCAAAGGTTTGTGACAGTGATAAACCCCGGTCTCAATGGCAATAGCTAGGCAAATCCTCGACCTAAATTTTTTTTGTTTAAATGAGGTAATCCGACGTGCTGATCCCAAAATCCGACTCAGAGAGAGGGAAAATGGCGAAATCAGCATTTCCCAATGCTCTTCATTTTGAATCTGGACGAGTGGAACCGTTCCCGATGGTTGGAAACGCAGAGTCGTTGCGGGACCCTTATCGTTGTAGCGCATTGGGTATGCCGATTCCAACGGCGGGAGGTAAATCGCCAACTTATCTAAGAGCGTGTAAGAAAGGCATGCGCGCGTGGGTTTTGAGGCAGTTTTCTTGACGCAAGCAGGCAGCATACTGTGATCAGACTTGCTCTTGGTGTCTTAGCAGCCACACTTCTTATATGAATCTATAATTTTGATTTATGCGAGCACTACCGAAAATTTCGGACTGTTAAAATAAGCAGTGGTGATATTTACAATGAGGATTGTTGTTTAATGCCGAAAGGTGAGAAGAAGTTAGCCCATGCTAACTGCGGAAAACCTTTTTCCACTTTTCAATCAGTAGCAACAATTTTAAAAAATTTCAGGAAAGGAAACGGGAAAATTTACATAATAAGTTTTTGAGTTGAACGCGTCCACTGCAAAACTAGGCTGTTACAAAACCTGTCTGAAAGATGGCCAGTTCAAAAATTCAAAGAAGTAGCGACTTTGAATGTTGCATTTGCCAGTATCTTGATTTATCTTTCAATGCTTCTCTTTAGAACTTAGGCGACTGGAAGCATAAAAGCTCGTCGACAGCGACTGGGAATTTTATCTAGAATCGTATTCCCCAAAAATGTAAGGAAAGGGACGCCCCTCCAATCACATCTTGAAACATCAATGAGGAGTGGAGGGAAAGGGAGATTGTTATTGAATCTTTCAAAATTTTGTTATTTCATCTTGACTTACCTTGTTGAGTCGTCGCTTGGTGTACTGTGCATTCTTTCTCAATCCGTACGCTATTGTCTACATAATGTCTTTCTTTACAGTGGCTTACTTATGCATCCATCGGCCATACGATTTGGGGAGGTGGATCATCTTTCTTGTTCGTTCCGCCATTTCTGATATTCGATGAAGACAACCCTGTCGGACACCTTTTCTACCAAACCTACAACGTCTATTTTTCCTTGTAAGTACTTGCCATTCTGGATTCTTTTCCGCAATTTAGTGAAATTGTAAGCGCCTGACCAGCAGTTCTACCAATTTAATTAAAATATGAACTTTGCATTGGCAGATGCAAATATTGACCATAAACTAAGGTGAAGGTCTCGCGTAACGCAAAGCATAGGCGTGATAAAATTTAACCTAGAAACACATTGAAGAAAACGTGGGCAGATGTCAAAGGTTGAACTACGGTAGATGCAAGTTCAGTGTAGACAAGAAAGATTAGTGATTTAAAGAAAGGAAGAAGCAAAAGTTACCTGCTGGGATTGAAGGTCAGAAAAAAATGCCTCAAGTCTGGAAATTCAAAGCATTGACAACTGTGCTGAGAGTTTACACGATCGATAAATAGCTGATTCAGAACATTCAACACAACTCAACACAACACACACAAAAACTTTGATTCAGAACACTTGCCATTTTTGCGTGGACATCTCTATTGGCGATTGGAGAGCTACAACATTTGATGGTCAAACTATCACAGTTATGCTTCTCGCATCACGTCTCTAATTCTGGAAATAAGAGTTCAAATACCGCCAGAAATGATGATATGGTACTCGCAACACAGAATTACTTCAAACAACTTGACACTGTATGGAGTCCAGTACATAAAATCTAGTTTATCCGCAAGTTCAACAGTTTTGTTCGTATCTTAAGCTACTATGGTTTCACGCATTGTGATAATTGTATTACCGCACAGACTGTACTTTCAAGAGCAACTTTATGCTTAAGAGTGAAGATAAATTGAACATATTTGCATTAGCATCACTGCATCACTGCACTCCTTAGTGTATTGGAAATAGGCTTATACTTAGTATGACGAAACTAATGTGTTGCCACATTGAACGTCTCGATGGGGAGTTAGAGATTAGCTGCCTACATTTGATGCGCTACAACAATCGACCATACTGTATGCTCTTGAAACGTGGAACATTACTTCGATGCGAAAGGGATTCTTCCTATTGATCTGAGTGATAGTTTTCTTGATGGTCGCGAAAACATTCACTACGAATGACGGCGGTCGGGTTCACTCTACATCATACCTTCGACAGTCTAGAGAAAGGACGTCAAAAGTGAAGGTTGCTTGAACATATGACCTCGTAAAAAGTGAAGGTTGTTTAAAGAAGATCAAAGAAGGTAAAATGACCTCAAACAGATATAGAAAACAAAAGAAGCTGCTAAAAACCGGATAAAAACGCTGCAATGAGGTTTGGAAGCTTTATTTGGCGGCATTTCAAAGTGCAAGTTTTCGCTCCAGGACCAGCAATTTGCAAAGGGAAAGCGAATAAAAGCTAATTTCTTTTTTTTGCGATTGCTTCAAAAAACATGTTCCGGAAAGAGTGGTCACCAAGAAGAAGATAAACAAGAAAGAAATTAGTAATGGAAACGCAAAAGATTTTTTTTACTAAGTCGAAAAGAACGTCGAAGCCAAATTTAATTTTTGATGCGTCCTTTGAATTTTTACCCTCGCATTGAGTTTCCGTTTCCTGGGACGTTGTCTAAATTGTTGCTCTTATTGTTCTGAGCAACAATCGCCCAAGCTGGAAAAAAATCGCTGCGAAAGCACTGAAACAGAACAAGTTAAAGAAAAACGCACTTTTTACGTTTTCGCAAAAAATTCCACCATAATCGAAGAGATAAGGGCTGAGTGGTTGTCTGCGTTATGAACAGAAGCGAGTTCTTTAGTATTCACGAAAAAACCGCGTAAAATAGGTAAACTAGGAGAAAACAAGAGATTTTCGTAAACAAGATTTTTGCCGGATTTCTCGTCCAAATTAAAAAATGTGGTTTTGGGACGTTGTCAGCGTGAAAATAGAGATCAAGTGCTTCAAAATGATATATAGCTTGATATAATTGGGTTCGAAACAACAAAGAAAAGGGTACTAGAGCCAAATGCTCCGCGCCCCGCGTTTGGGGTAGCAAGGTAGCGCGCAGGGCGTAAATACGCAGACGAGCAGCGGAGACAGACCAGAGCCGACGGGGCATTTGACTGTGTCGTAGATCTCCGCGGGATCTCAATGAAACCCTGTAACATTATATATTATTCTGATCGTCATGACAAGACGAGAAGAAATAACAACGTTCCAAGCTTTGAAAATCACTCATTAATGAGATAGACCAGCGTATTCGTGCGCGATTCTCTGCGCAAGAATTAAGCGCAGTTTCTCGTTTTTATTTACTCCAACAGCTTTCCTAAACTTCTGAAACTCGATTTTGGTCAAATAAGAAATTAATTGAGAAATTTTGTCTTCAATCCCGGCGAAAATTTCACAGTAACCTTCTTTTTAACGTAAAAAAGGCTATGAAAACGCAAATTCTCGTTTCACTGAGATAACCTAAAAATATTGTTTTCTATATTTGCTTCATCAACATTCGTTCCGATATAGTCAGATTAATAACATCCGGGGCGAAGCCCAAGATGACTTCTGTTTTTTCCCAGGTGAAGGTTGTGTCCCCTCACAGCTCTCAAAGTGAAGGTTACCAGAGTACGTGGCTCTATGTATTGAGGGTATGCTCTACATTCCCGATAAAGTTGTCTAGAGTAGCACAGTCGTGGCTTTACATGCATAAGACGCAGATGTGTCGCATTAGTTTGTTTCATAGGAGCATGCCAAATCGATAACTTCTTGAAAACAAAGCAGAAGTTTTAGGCAAGAGATTGAGGCTAAACTTGAGTGGTGTGTACCTCACAAATGAATGCTGACGAACATACAAAAGTGCGCAGTTTTAAATTGAGATGTCTTGTGAGTGTGAGGAAAACAAGGGCTGTAGAGTCAACTATTAGGTGTAAAGAAAGTTCCCGGGCGCTTGCGAAAAAATTTTTCGAATTGCTATAACTTCAAGCAGATTGATTCTTTTTTGAAGCTACAAACTTCATTACAAAGACAATTTGGTCCACAACATATACTTGCCTTGCTGGCTTCTCAGCACCTTACTGCAGTCCACCAGCATGCGCAGAAGGGAAAATGGTCGTCGCGAAAAGTGGCCTATTTGTGCAGGATTATCTCAGGCAGGATGAGAGCTGGAAAGCCCAGATGCTGTAGTTAAATAGAGGTCTGCTGAGGCTATTACGGAAACCATTCATGTTTTTGAAGGACCACCTACAAAAAAATTTTCCCCAGAAAGTTTGAAAAATCGATCATTTTTTGCCCCCAAAAATGCACCATTTTTCGAGTAAGTGATTTTGAAGTCTTCTAGTTCTCCACAGAAGGGACCAAATCTTTGATTACTGGGAACATTGTTGGGGTAATGGCTTGCACATCTTTTGGACCCATCGTCCAGGT